CTGTCCACATATTTTTGTATTTTTTGTTGTTTTATAAAAGCAACGTACATTGGAGATGTTCTCCTATAACAGAATTGATAGGGTTTTTTTTTCCTTTCCTTACTTTTTTTTTTTTTCCATTTCAAAGTTGCTACCAGTGTTTTCAGTCATGGATAAAAGAGGGACATGCCGTGGGTGTTTGACTGCCGAGCTCACAAAGGTGCTTTGAATACCGCTGGTTCTATTCCTTTGATACCACACACTTTTATAAGACGTGTCAATGCTATATGACACAATGCTCTGATTCCGAGTGCCAGAGGTTTATTAATTCAGCATACACAGGTAAACACGACCATCCACCTGTGCTGCTCTTTTAATGGTGCTTAAAGTAAGGAGCTCATCCTTGGCAAGTCATCCACGATCCATGTTGTTCCTTGGGCATCTTTTCTTTGCTCAAATGGTTAAAGAATGGGGGCTTGTTTCATGGTTTTTGTATGTGTGTCCAATGTGCATTTTCATATGATAGACACAATGCCTTGTGTGGCTAGTGTTCTGGAAAAGTCGCTCTTCTAGGGATTGTTTTTCAGATCTTCAGTAATCCTTTTTCCTTAAATTTCAAAGATAAAACAATAAAATAAAATGTAATCTAACTTTATTTTCTTGCTCCTGCTTCCCCTGATCCACTGTAAGCACCACAGGGACACCTTTTCCTGTCTGTCCTGTCCAGTGTCATGTCCCAGTCTTCAGAACAGTGTTTGACACCTTAGCTGCTTTCAGGAACTATTTATTCACTGAATGAATGAACAAAATAAGTCTGTGTGCCTCACGCTTTCCACTTGTAAAATGATGAAAGTTGTAAGGAAGATAAATAAGACATTCTGTGTAAAAGCATATTCAGTAATGCCTGGAACACAGTGGCTAATTCATATGTCCGTTCATTTGTGTTTATTGTCTAATACATAGACCTGATGGTCTGTTGTAAATAGATAGGGCAACTCTGTGTCCCTAGGTTACCCAGAACTGTACCACTATTTTTTTTTTAAATGTAATACTGTTTATTTAACTTCAAAAACATTTCAGCATTCTAAACATACAAAAAATAACAGAACGTTGCAAATGTGTTTAAGTACAGAAGGTTCTTGAACTTTCATTGATGCAGTGGCTCTTCCGCTTGCCGCTTTGCCAACAATGAAGAGTTCTACGGTTTGTTTTAAAACAAACAGTTTAAAAACTACCGCACTTAACTAAAAAAAAAATCCAAACACTTCTCATGCCAGCTGACCCC